CCACTTCTAATTACTGTCTATACCCTTATCAAGTTTAGTGATAAGTACACAGAATATCTCACTGCAATATTTTCTGATACTTGACTCTCCGCCTTGTATCTCTCTACACAACAAAGATCTTACACTTTTCCTACCAAAGTCACTAGTAGGCGGCTGTCCATCTTGTCGTGTTCCCGTCTGAAGAGGTTCTGTCTCTCCTCTCCTGGCCGGACGGACACTAAAATCTGAACCGGCTGCCGTGCCGGTAGCTCAATGGCCACACGACCCTGACTCTGATCGCAGGAGACGCTCTCCCCCGAGTTCCGTCGTCGATTACACCACCGACGATACGATGAAAACTTGTAGAACCACCAGCCGTGGCCCGCCATGGCAATCCCCCACAGGATGATGATGGTGGCCCAGGAAATCACTGTAGGACACTCCCAGTGGTCATGTTCTAAACTCGACCGTAGAAGAGTCCTGGTCCAGGCCCACTCCCTGAGGGTGGATGCCTCCACTAAAGTTGTCCCAGGCTCGTTACTGCCCAGCGTATCCTCAAGCACTATCTCATCCCGAAGGTCCTGATCCACCAATCCTCGTAGATCCTGCCAGCCTGGCTTCGGTAACACATTAATCACTTGCTGATACTCCAAGGACGACATGGGTGGGATGAAGAAATCCTGTGAGGTATCCTGGCATCCTGATGCCAGACGAAGGACTCCTACACCCTCCAACATCTCCCTGGGTTTTGTGATCCCTGCCATGGGTGCTCCCGGACAGGAAACCGAGACCTCAATGGGGTACGGCACACTGTAGATCCACCGGGTCCCCTACCTCACCAATATCGGCGCAAAGTGGTCCGTCACCACCTCATCGCAGATGTCTTCCACCTTGTCTTCCTTAAAGAAGGCCGCCGACAAGCATGTTCGCACATGTCCTCTGCGGTGAAGTCCAGCAGACGTTGGTAGATATACAGCCCAGCCCTCACTGCATTACAGGAATCCAGGGAATCCATCTCCACAAACATGTCCCGGGATTCTGAAACAAACAAATACGAGGCAGATGTCTTTGTTTGTATAAAGGAAGAGGTGCCCTCGACAGGTCTCGGAAAACTATGGACACTGAAACCATCCAACCCCAACCCTGGTAGGGGAAGTGCCAGATACATAATCAGCTGTCCAGAGGAAATCCCAGGCCGAACCGTCACATGTATCAGATCATAATACAAATGAACATCCTGCTCTCGTGGAGGAGAAATTAAATACACTCTCTCCCGTGAGAGTTCTAATAATATATCCAAAACTGTAACTGGGGGTAAGAGTTCCGGTGACAAATGTCCCTTAACTGCATCTCTTAACCCACCCATTAATTCATATTGGTCCTGCCTGATCCTTTTTAAGACCGACTTGTAATTCTCCAGGGTCAGACCAAGCAAGAATAACCGCTGAGTCTCCCCCACTGATCTTCCCAGTCTTTTGACTGCCCCGTCTAATATCCCAACTGAATCCTCCAGCCTTTTTTGAGCCACCTCGAGGCGTGTAGCATCCCCGATGATCTATTAGACAAAAAGTGCCTTTCACACAACATCATGCGCTTGACACAGTTCTCACATAATTATATACTTAGCACATCAGTGTATTCAGTGTATACTTCACTATTGACATATCTCCCTTTATAGTGCAACGAGGAACACTCAGAGCTTAGGATATGCACCTTGGGGTTCCTCAAGGTTTAATTTTCAACCCTGTGTTAGTTTTAATATATATATAAAAAAAGAAAAGAAAAAAAAGAAAAAAAGAAAAAAAAGAAAGAAAGAAAAAAAAAAAAAAAAAAAAAAAAAAAAAAAAAAAAAAAAAAATATATATATATATATATATATATATATATATATATATATATATATATATATATATATATCAAATTCCGCTTTAAAATTCAAAATTGTCCTATATGCTGGTGATACAAACACTTTAATACGCAGGTAAACCTCCAATCTCCTTTTGGATACGTTTAGATACCTAATAAAATCACCATATTAATAAAATCACCAAATGGTTACTAGCAAATAAACAGATTTTGAATGCTGAGAAGACAAAGCTTATAATATTCCAATGTACTAATTCCAGGCCTCTGTCACTACCTCCCTTACGAATAAATGGTGCAGTGGTTAGCAAAGTATAGTTCATAGTGTTTCTTAGAATTACTACTGATGAGAATTTGGGTCAGATATAGTTTATGAATTTAATATGGAAATATATTCAAAGTTCGGAATCATCTGTCTAAAGTAGCCTCAATATGGATATGCTGTACTATAGCATATCCTTACTTGAGAATTCTATATTACAGATCAAAATGCGAGCCCATGAATCCTGTATTCAAAGCACTTGATTTTATTGATTTTGATCTTTTGTTCAAAATATAGTAATATACTTAACGGTCCTCAAACACACAAAATGCATAGAGGCTCAGACCATATTCAAAAGAATCAAACATTCTCCAATACGAGACGAAACAACATTAATATCTTCTATCTTTAAGTACGGACACCATTGATCGAGAAATCTATTCTGTACATCGCCCCTCGCGTCTGGAACACCCTTCCTAATTCTTTAACTGGGATTAGATACGATGAAATCCTTTACAATTAATACAATAAAGTTCTGGGTGTTGTAGTAAAATTTAGGTCGTCGGTTATTATTGTTCTATACATGTTTTGAACTTTTTTTTCTTCTTTTTTGTCATTATAGTGTGTGTGTGCTGAATCTAGCATCGCATCTGCCTGGCTGCTTTGCTAAACAGACTACATTGCCATGAAATAATTTACACCATGTACTCTATTATTATATATTGTGAACCTCTCTCTCTCTCTCTCTCTCTCTCTCTCTCTCTCTCTCTCTCTCTCTCTCTCTCTCTCTCTCTCTCTCTCTCTCTCTCTCTCTCTCTCTCTCTCTCTGTAATAATATGGGGAGGTGTATTCCACTGTACTGTTGTGTGGAGGAAGTGTCCCTGCTGCTGCTTTGGTACTTGCGTGTTGAGTTAAAGGTGTCGCAGCTTCTAGTTTTTATTAGCACGGGAGTATGGTAGCTAGAGTCCAACGTCCAGGCAGGAGTGTCGTGCCATGCCCGCGATGGGTGAGCGGTCTGTGTGAACTGGAGGTGTTGACCGAGTCGATGCTGAGGGGTTCACAGAATTTTCACTAAACATAAGAAAATGGTAACATTA